ACTCCCACTCACTACCTATACACACAAAAAATTCAATCAAAAAAGAACAGCACACAATCTCACTTATAACTACACAACCTCTTTTCAGTTCAATAATTTATTAAACAAAACGCCAGGCAAAACATTTTATACTGTATAACAAATATTTGTGAATGCTTTGCAGTTAGGAAATTATGATAACGTCATAGCATGTATGAAAAGTATTCTTTCTAGGAGTTGGCCGAAATGCAAAAAAAAAGCCTAGTAAGAGTGGAACTGAACCTACAACATGCAGAATACCACGGCAGTGTTCTACTGATCGATTAGGCTAATTTCAAACAACATGCCAATGGCTGCATTCTGGGCACACAAATCAGTCAGGTCAAGAACATCAGAACAGTATTCTAGAAGAAGCAGGTTCAAATCTTTTTTTTGACTCAAATTTATACCTGTCCGTTCGTTACTTTAGGCAGATGTTTTATACACTGAACTGTTGACAGCAATCTTTTCATTAGGATGCGGCTTAGTGACAAACAATACTTTAATTCGTGTGCAAACCTCACGGAACAGGTCCCGCCCCTTAAAGTCTAACCAGAAAACACTTGTACATGTATGAACATTTGTCTTTCTTGCATGCTCAGTGTCACACGACCAACTGTCTGATGTACATGTACATGTATTACGAAAACACACAGAACAATAACATAACCTACTCCACCTATGCTTATGTAAGGTAAAAATGGCATGCAGGTTTTCGGTGTCCAATTTCTTTCAACAAAAGAAGAACAAGCAAAAATAATGGGACGAGCAAAAAGGTTCCATACAAGTACGCTTCAGTTTACACTTTGAAACACTTCACAGATGTTTCTTTCCAGCATTTACCTCCCACAAAGTGACTCTATGACAAGCTTTCACACTGGATCCAACTGCCGAAGGTGACTTAACAGGACCCATGTTTTGTGTCTGAGCACCAGCACAGAGCACTGGAGATTTATACTCCTCAATATAATCTATATGTATGTGACTACCATGTTATGAGTTCATCCCCCGTAAAGCAATCCAATACAGCTGCATACTTCCCCCCTACTAGTGTCCCAGTTACATTTCTCCAAAACACTGTATTGAGCGGTTAATATTTGCTTGATACCAGGTCCATCCCAACCTAGCAATGTCCAGACCTAAACCACCTGTCAAAATACACACCATAACAGGTTACATACATGTGCACTGCAGCATTACCATGGGCCTTTTGAGCAGTTGACAATAGACATTTGACCAGCAGAAACACTAACCATGCCGTTATCAACCTGTTTCCCCTGCCAAGTCATGCATTCAGTTCCCCCTAAAGTATTTCTGTTTGTCCTGGTTGGAGTCTACAGAAGTGGCACGGACCTTTTATAAACCCTGGTTCCATGCCACATGTATGATACTGCATTACTTTTTCACCTCCAGCAAAAGAGAGAGATTTGTTCAACATTTAGTGGCAGGAAAATGAGGATATATCACTTCCTTTGTTTATTATATACTCATGTACGCAACGCCAGGTTCATTCCAAGGTCTAATATTGACTTAAGACATGACAAAGAATGGGTTGGAACCAACATATTCAAGTTCCCGTTGAAGTTCTTGAAATCGGTCCTAAAGTATACTCTTACATCCCCCACCCATTTTTTGGTTTTAGTTTTTGCAATACAGATAAGGAAATTGCCATTTACATGTGTTTGTACCCCTCTCCCTTTTCGTACATGTTGAGTAACAATCAATACACACTTGATTGTAACTGTTTATCAAAACTCCTTGACGCCACATCTGTGGTGGGGTCACAGTGCCCCTCCTCTCAGGGCAAGAACCAGATGAAGCACCGAGCCACCTTGGACCTTGTAGTCCTGAGCTGTCTTGTCGTCATTCCTGAACAATGGAAATGACAGTGTGATAAGGCATTAATGTGATTTGACAGGTGGAAAATCATGGACGTAAAGGGACGGCACAAGTGCTGTACTGCAACTTTACCATTTTAACTCCTAATTTCTGTTATCTATCTTAA